GAGCTTGCTAAATTAATTATTTTGTGCAGTTTACATCCGAATACTCAAACTAAGTAAATAACTAAGTAATATTCAATTTTAAGTCGCGCCTAAGTATAGTTCTGTCACTACAAATTCTTTGTAAAATGAAAGAGATGGCACGATATTTAAGTACAACTTAAAATTGAGTAGTCTTTCAGTGTTCGGGCGTTACTCTTGTAACTGTTTAGCGATGCAACTCGACTAGTTTCAAGCTAAGCTAGGAGCTCATAATCATTAGCTACATGAGCGACGTCTGACGCGGAGAGCGTGGCTAACAACCAACAAAATAACTGCAGTATATCGAAGAAATTAGAAGATAACGAATGCATATAAAATAATTACTAATACATTATGTTATTACTTCTATACAAAGTAACATAATATGTAGATGTTCTCTAAAGGCTTTATAAACTCAACAATTGAGTTTGCACAGAAAGGAATGGCATACAACAACAATGTGCTAGCCACCGATGTTAATTAAGATTCCTACAACAAAAGACATGAAGCAAAACTGAACATTAAATAAGAATGTCTAAACTATAACAATGGCCTTAATAAAATTGTATAGTAACAAATACAATAACCACTGTAATAAAATAACAACGACTATAATATATACTTAACAGACGCGTAAGAGATGTACCAAATTTTGAATATTAGGAACTACTTATACATAATGTCGTGGTGGCCCGGAGGTTTAAAACGCTGGCTTCTCCTGCATGAGAATGCGGGTTCGAAACCTACCAACGGCAAGTACCAATGTGACTTTTTCCGAGTTATATGTACTTTCTAAGATTATTTAGACACCACTGACAAACGGTGAAGGAAAACATCGTGAGGAAACCTGGGCTTATAACTTCTAATTATAAGTTTGTAATCGCCAACCCGCATTGAGCAAGCGTGGTGATAAATGCTCAAACTCTTTCCGTGTGAGAAGAGGCTTTGCTCAGCAGTGGGCATTTAAAGGCTATTGGTGATGTGATGATTAAAACTACGAATATACAGAACCGAGTTAGTATCAAATGTAAGGACCTTCATGACACTAACTCGACTTGTTCAAGTGTGGACTGGGAACATTGTGGACATATCCTTTAGACTCGAAGATTTAGCTGTTCCAAAGGGATGTTGAGAAACGTAACTCTCAACTTACACTACCGAACTAAACAGCAAATGTATCTATTCACTAAACACCTTCTGTAGTACTTAGAAAATGACTTGCGTATTTTAGAATTATGATCGCATTTTTATACCAATCGGCTTACAAAGTTACAGCATTTTATAAGTATGCTATACTCGAATTTTGGATGTAGGCTCGCCATTTATTACATTGTGGACTCAAACAGCTGCTCGCCCAACCACTACACCAGCCGTGCAGTTAATACGTAGAACCTAATTATTTATAACTAGCAATGAGGTATTGTAAAGCATATCTAAAAGAACAGGCGCTACATATGTCAGTAACTTGTTCAGCAAGAATACAACAGTTAAATCAAACTATAAACTAACACAAATAATATTTCAAAATCCCATTAAATACACACCTTATCAACACTAGAAAAACCTGTTTAATTTCCTATTCATAAATGGAAAAAGGGAAAGAAAATAATTATTCCGTTTGAAAATATTGCAAAGGCTTTGAATTTCCTGCGGTAAACGAGGTATTCGGTTCGGTTTCCCGTGGCGTAGTGGGACGAGACGAACGTGACGTTCATATGCCAACTATTACCTGATGTCACTTATACACCGTGTACAATACATACGTATGTGTATCCTTCAAGTGTCAGAATTCACAGTACATTACAGTAACCTACTATTTTGCGAGGTTTTTCCTCTGTGGGAACAGAAATGTCTCACACCCACTATCAAGAGGATATTTCTGATTATTAATCAGAAACAGGTACAGGCACAAGCGACATTTTAAGGCACCCAATAGTCACCAGTCAAAGGTCGCTCATCGTCACCACAACAAAGGTGATTGCTAACTAGTTTCGAAAACAAGGATTGTGTTCGATGTTGGTACCAGTCATGTGAAAAGATGAAGCTACATTTGGTACGTCTATCCTCGCCTCTTCAAAGAAGTGATGTTATGTGTTTGATCTTATACTACTGCGTAATTCACTTCTGCCAGCGGTTTCGCCTGCTATATCCGAATAAAATGAAGGATATCAATTCCTGATTATAGTTTATCCCTATGCTGAAAATTCATCAATAAGAGTAACAAACACACATACATTCATATGATACATGCATGTTTTATGATATTAGTAGTGCGAAAGAGAATAGGAAGTAAAATACAACATTAATATTAAAATCTTGTAGTAAAAAATATAAAATCCTTTTAGCAATGCTTGTATAATACGTGTTGTTCTAGCTTTCATAAGCAGATAGCATTTACAGAAAATATTTTTACAACACTGCATTCAGCTATTAACATGCATAACTATATAGAAGCAAAAAATGGCCGCATTAAAGAGACTACACAAAAACCCGTAGTTATCACAGCGTATAAATTACAATGAAAATGTGAGCGAAAAATCCTCTTAAACTCAGCCGGTTAGTTAGGCCGTGCAAGCTCATTACCGATGCATTTTAAGCTTATCTGTCGACTGTAGAACATTGTGATAGGAGGAAGCGGGAAGGTAATTAAATTCATTATTTTTTCTTATCTTTTAACCTTTGGTTTAACATAGATCTGAGCAAGACATAAATGTGTTTTTATGGAGTTTTTTTCATTTAACCTTGACATAGGCTAGAAATGTTTGTATATAGAGGTATATGAAATAAGAAAAACTCCAATGACAACTTATCATGTCTCATACAGCAGCAGATGGAGCCCTTATTCATGAGTAAATAAATGAGTTGCCTCAACGAAAGTTTCTGCATCAAATTACATGGCCGTTTTCGAGCATCCTGATTGAGATTTTTGGTCCCTAACGTGGGTCGAAATTAGTCGAGTAACCTTGTTGAATGTATACCATGTAGCGTGGTTATTAAATATGTATCATGATGTTATAATTAAAAAATTACCGATTTTAAACAATGTTTTATGGACGTCATAAAACAATAATGTATGAAATTCATCAACGACATTTGTTAGCTATAAAACACAAGTAAAATAATATGTTTTGTATTAAAATATGTACAATTTATTTCAATTGCAGACATTATACATTTATATCATCAGCTGAATTGTATGAAAATTAAATGAAAATAATTATTGTATAGAATCTACAACCATTAAAGTTGTGAAAGCTGTTTGTGGACAAGCATTACAATAGCGTCAACGTCAAATAAAAACAAAACATAATTTAATTCATATTTGTATTTTCTGTTTGACATACGTATAATTATTCGTATTTCTGTATGATTTTACTTTGACTGAATCGCTGATAATGGGCACAATGGTGATTTCTATACACAAATTCTCAGATACCTTCTAGATACAGGGGGTGGTACTCATTTCTTCTTAGTTTCACTAACGTCCATTAATTACCACGCCACGATGTTTTGTTTAACCGGTTTAACACGTAAAACGCCAAGGAGGTCACCAGTGACCGACATTAGGAATTGCCTACCACAGCTTACCATTGGCAATCAAAGCTGGCAAATGTTATTTTGTTTAAAATTAATCAACTCAATAAAAACTCAGTTTATATTTCTTCAGCTTATGTCAACTAGTTTTTGCACTCGGTTTCCTTAAAGTTTTTAAATAGTGATTCTGATAATAACCTCTGGCGTGATTTAAAAAAAGTAAAAATACCACTCTTTACCCAAAAGCTAGATGCCTTTTGACGGTTTATTCTATCTCACAGTGTACCTCTACACCGAAAGTACACAAAAACAACCGGTTCAAAACCTTGTACAGTCCTAATGAAACATAATCTGTATATTTAAAGAAGGGAAAAATAAAACATGATGTTTTCCTTTACCTTACTGCCGTTTCTTCTTAGTAAATATGTAAGGAGGCTTAATAATATAACAATGGTAAGCAGAAGGCCGTGCCCGCATACTACCAACTCGAACCGACCCCTAGCATTAATTAGCACTGACTTGTACACATCAAACTGTGCAACCAAGTATAAACTGACCGTAGAATATATGGAGAGATCACACGAAGGGAGACCATGATAAATTGGATTGTTTAGCTCGATGTGTGGTAGTGTATGCCGATGTACGTTCATGGTTTATAGTATAACTGCAGTACTGTTTTTGTTACTGGTTTTAACCAGTTTAATTTAAATGCACACTCCGGGTTTTCTTTTTTCACTTTTTTAGGGTTTTCGTCGCTGAATGTTTCTTATTTGTGTCATTTCAGTTGTGTCCTCAGTGGTTTCAGTGTGTTCTTGATGCTACTTTCATGAGGTCTTGGCGATTTTGTCCCATAGAACTATAAAGGTTTGAATTCAAAATCGAATTTGAACGAATCAGGACGCGTACATAGGTACCGATTTGTGTAGAAAGTAGATTGACACAAGATAGACTGCCGCGTTGGCCGATTGGTCGCAAGTACCTACGACTGCTGGGCAAGGGGTCTCGGGTTCGATTTCCGGGTCGGGCAAAGCATAAATGGGTTTAAAAAAAATCTCAGTAATAGCACGGAGTCTGGATATGTGCCCGGTATATGACAATAGGCTCACACCTCATTACTTGGGACTCATAACATAAATAGTATTTAGGTAATGATACAGTGCACTATATATCCATATGTAACATCTTTTATACCTGTATTATACAAATAAATGATTTGATTTGAAAAAAAGTGAAAACTGGGTATTACATTGTACACCGCGCATTAAATGCCGTAATATTTACCTCTGCCTCTCCCTTCAGGGTCAAAAGCCGTAATATAAAGACACAAATATTAGTCATGAAAATTATATAATACTTCTTGTAATCCGAACAAATTCAAAGGTTACATAAAACAACCCCTCATTAAATAAGAAACCGAGAAAATTTTAATAAAAGGAGTGACGTCACGGACGCCGGTAACAGCTGACTTGTGTGTGTCGCCTCGGGTCAAATAAAATAAAACTACTGTTTTATTTGATATATTTTATTCGCGAAAAGTTTACTAGTGGATAACTGATTACATATATTGTGGACATTAGCAGTGAATCGAATTAAACGATCTTAGGATTAGTTTTGTACCAGCCCCAGTGTTACGGTGACTAAACCTACCCTGTTGCATAAAAAAAAAAAAAATCCTTAACTTCTGTGCGAGTCTCGCGTGTGTGTTATTCCAAATACTGCAACACAAAATATCATGGCCAAATGCGGTGGATGTGGTCAATTTATTGCTGCGACAGCAAGCATTCGGTGTGGCAAGTGCGCGGTCTGCTACCACCGCGCCTGTGTGGGAGTACCGCCTTCAGCAACCCCCTCGCCTGCATGGCTGTGTCCTGGATGCAAGGCGAAACTTCCCAAGACCGACAATTCTGCGACACCGGTCAAAGGTGCAGCGGCGGATTGCTCGGTCCCAAATAGTCCCCCCACCGTCGCCCCCCCCGTGAGTCTGGATTTGGCGCATGAGATCAGAGCTTTTAGGGAGGAGTTAAGCGCTCTAAGGGTCGATATACGCGAGCTACGGCAGGAAAATGCACAATTTAGAGCTGCCATAAACGGTTGCAATGAGCGGCTGGACGCGGTAGTGCACAGGGTGGACAGCCTCGAGCAGCGGTTCGAGGCGAAGGACACCTCATCGTATGACCACCTGGAGGAGACGATCGCTGACTTAAAACTTCAACTAAACGAGCGCGATCAGGACCTTTTGTTGAACGACGTCATCGTGTCGGGTATACCGGAGTCGAAGTCCGAGAATCCGGCGCACATACTTAAAACACTGTCGCTGAAGCTGGGGGTCGACCTTGACGATAGGGATATAGTAAACGTCGAGCGACTCGGCATGGTGCGTCGTAATTTTATCGCCGGTTCATCCCAGCACGACATAACGGAGCATCCGCGGCCGCGCGCCATCGCGGTGCGCCTTTCTCGCCGTACGGTGCGAGACAAACTAATTCAAGCGGCGCGCGTGCGTCGCGGCCTCACCACTGCGGACCTCGATCTACACGGCCAGCCTCGGAGGGTGTTTGTAAATGAGCACTTGACTCGCTCTAATGCAAAGTTATTCCATCTAGCTCGAGAGGCTGGGCAGCGTTCAAAGTACAAGTACGTATGGACAAGGGAGGGACGCATCTACGTGCGGAAGGAGGACGGCGTCTCTGCTGTGCGCATTCGCTCGCACGCAGATATCAGAAAAACTTTTGGGGACGGTTATGTTTGATGAGTGTGGGTGTTAATAGATATTTCTGTTCGGTTTGTGTATTTCACTTTGTTTTCATTTTTTTGCTGTATACCCTTTATCTTGTTGACGACCTCGTGATATGTGCTACGTTACATTTATTTTATATTAGTTTTTCTGCTACGTCATGTTGTAAATTGGCATCCTCGGCAATGTATGCATGGGCTAAGGTTGGTATTCCTTGCAGTGACGGTAAATTTTATTGTATCCAGGCTTATGCAACCTTACTTATTATTGGATATTTTTATGTATATGCATATGTGCCTGTGTTCTTATTATACAATGTTTCTATCTTTCTTTACTCATATATTATTTATAAATCTTTAAGTAATGGCTATATTATAATAACAATTTTTTTTAACATAAATTTAGATACTCTCGCAGGGAAAGTATATAACGATTTTTGTTTATATTTAATCCATGATATAAAATGACCCCGAAAGAGTTTAAAATTGGATTTCTTAACGCCGGGTCTTTAGGTACAAATCATGACGAGTTTATAGCCGCAGTGGATCACCATGATGTTGACATCATGGCGGTAAATGAGACATGGCTCAGGGCGGGGGAGGAGGCGCGCGCGCCGTCGGTTCCCGGCTACCGGCTGCGGCATGTACCGCGTCCGCTGAGCGTGCGCGGCGGCCGCGGCGGTGGTGTCGGATTCTATATAAGATGCGGAATGAACGTACGGGCGCATTCCTACCCTACTGACCCTACACATTCGTCGGTCGAACAGATGTGGCTCGTGTTTACCATAAACGGTATTAAGCTTGCTATAGGGACCGCCTATCGGCCGCCGTGGTTGGATGTGGACACGTTTCTGGACGCACTGACCATGTCTGTAAATTCGTTAACATTCTGCGACTACACTGTGTTGTTGGGTGATTTTAATATAAATTTTATGAACACCTCACCACCTGACAGTAAATTAAACAAATTGCATATTTTTTTAAATTGCCTGAACCTCAATCAGTTAGTTACATCGCCTACACACTTCACAACCAACAACTCGAGCCTTATAGATTTGGTGTGTACAGACGCAAGAGTTACTGATGTCAATGTGTACCCAATACAAGCTCTCGGTGCTCATGCATTTATTACAACTACTCTTCGTATAAAAAGGGAAAAAATCCGGCCTCGAATTATAACTTATAGGGATATCAAAAACATTAACTTAGAAAATCTCAAAGAGGCTCTGGACGCGATCGACTGGCGTGGGGTAATTTCTTCTCATGACGTGGACTATATGGTGTACTGTCTGACAAACAATTTACTGTATCTGTTTGACACATTTGCACCTCGCAGGAGTGTTAGGATGAGGGATAGATCCTATCCGTGGATTACAGAAAACATTAAACTTATGATGAAACTTCGAGACAAAGCCTATAGGGAATTCCGAATTAATAACACATTAACTCACAAAAAACAATACTACATGGATTTAAAGAGTCTAGTAACTAAATCAATCTACCTTGAAAAAGTAGCCTACTTCAAATCAAATATTAATAACAACATCAAACATCCGAAGAGGCTTTGGAAGAATTTAAAATCCACCTTGCTGCCTCTGTCTGATAATGAACTACCCGCACATTTCAATGACCCAAACAAAATAAATGATCATTTTTTGAATGTTCCCGGCGATACAATTACTTCCCTGTCGACTTACACCTACTATGAATTTCATAGGTTCTCTGATTGCATCCTCTCCCTTAATACAACCGATGACATGAAGATTCTAAGGATAATAACCAGCCTAAAATCAAATGCTGAAGGTTGTGACCAGATAGCACTGAATATGTTTTTGTTAACAATACCACAAACTTTGAATGTCCTGACGCGTATTATAAATGCCTCCATAGTAACGGCAACTTTTCCGGGCGCCTGGAAATTGGCTAAGGTACGTCCTCTACCCAAAGTAAACAATCCTGGCGAACTTAAGGATTTAAGGCCTATTAGCATTCTACCCTTAATGTCTAAGGTCTTGGAAAGGGTGGTAAACGAACAGGTCTCCAAATTTATAGAGGACAGCAGTGTTCTGCCGGATGCGCAATCTGGTTTTAGGAGGGGGCGTAGTACGGCCACGGCTTTGTTGGACGTCACTGACAATATACTGGCTGCGCAGGATGAGGGTTTGTGCACTATATTGGTCCTGCTGGATTTCTCGAGGGCATTTGATGCTATCAATTTATCCCTATTACTCTCTAAAATGGCGTACTACGGATTTGACATACCAACAATTAAATGGTTCGATAGTTACCTCAGCAACCGTGCGCAGCTGGTTGAATTTCGCGATGCTAATGGATCTTTCTTGGCTTCTGAGGTGAAACCTGTGACGAAGGGAGTTCCCCAAGGATCCATTTTAGGGCCTACCCTATTCCTATTATATTGTGCTGACATCATCAATATAATAAAAACATGTAAATATCATATCTACGCTGACGATATACAGATTTACTTGTCCTTTAGACCGGAAGAATACGCGAGTGCTGTGAATTCAATTAATGAGGACCTCGACAGGATAGTGAACTGGTCAAGCAATAACTGCCTCATCTTAAATCCATCCAAAACAAAATTCATGCTTTTCGGAACAAAGACGCAACTTTACAAGACTCCTAGTAATATTAACGTTCTCTTGAGGGGTCAAATCATTGAGCGTGTCGATGAAGCGCGAAATTTGGGTCTGATAATGGATCAAGGTCTTAGGTTTGAATCTCACATCTCAAACTGCGTCAGAAACTGTTTTTACCGCCTGAAGATACTATACAGAATGCGTCCGTATCTAAGTGAGGAGTTGCGTGTGCGGCTGGTTGAGTCGTTGGTTTTATCCAAGCTAAACTACGCTGACGCGGTTATTGGACCTAGACTGTTTTCACGCACTGAGCGATTGATACAGAGGGTTCAGAATGCCTGCGCGCGTTTTTGTTTTAAAATTCCACCTAGGAGTCACATAACACCTTACTTAAACAAGTACAATCTTCTAAAAATGAAGTCCCGACGTAAGCTCCACCTGGCATGTCTCCTCTTTGGTGTGATTAAGTACAAGTGTCCAGTATACCTCTACTCGAAGCTCTCGTGGGTGAATGCTCATCGGCAGCGGGAGGGTAGGCGGTGTGCACAACAGCTGGCTATACCGCAACACAAATCGGCTGCTTTTCGGGGTAGTTTCCGATATGCAGCTTCTAAGTGCTGGAACAACATACCTCCGCCAATCAGGAACCTGCAAAGCACTTTCACTTTTAAACGAAAACTCAAGGAGTTTATTATTAACTCTCAAATTGAGAGTGAATCTGTAAATATTGACATTTCGTTTATTTAATCTGACATTTATCCTTCTTATTATTTTATTCGTATAACTCGGTACACAAATCATGTTAGTCACATTATCATATTTATTTATTTTTATAATTATAATTAACTTATTACTTGCACTATTAATGTAACGTAGGATCTCACAAACTCACCCTCGAGCCCCTTGTTGTTGCGTCAGTGCTGGCGAAGTGTCGACCTGCTCGCTTTGGCTTCTCGCAATAAGTGTCGGGCTACGCGATAGCTTCACGACCACAACCTACCCACACTATTCTAATTGTCGTGATATATATGTGGTTTATAATTTTATTTTTATTATTATTATTTATTTATTTTTCTACGGTGACGGTACACGTAGCACTTGTTTATGTATCTATACTTATTTTCTTCCTTTTCGTTTATTGTTTTAACATGTGTCTTTTGTATTTATATTATTTTCCTTTAAATAACCCCTATACTTATTATACTCTTTGCAATAAATAATTTTTCGTTGCTTCCGTCCGTGCGTCACTGCAGGGGTGCCAACTGAAAATCAGTGTTGGGTACTTACTGTGCCCAGCTTAGACTGAGTTGGCGAGCCCTTTCGTCGTGGACATGCTGCCACCCTGTTTCTTTTATTTTGTTTTTATAATGTTTTTTTTTTCTTTGCCTTCATTGTTGTTTTTTTGTTATTTTATGTTTTTTATTTTTGTTTTCTATATTTATTTTTGTGTTTTAATGTATATGTTTTTTAATTTTCGGTGGTCCATGTATATGTCCATGGCGAATAAATTATTTTTCTTTCTTTCTTTCTTTCTTTCAAAACTATAAAATATTATTTAACTAAAGTATGTAAATCTTATTTTGAATTCAAACTAATCAAATTACTAGGAACCAAGAGCTTCATTTTGAAAAGCATATTGACTCAACATCAAATTAATCTGACTCTGTACTTGTATAACGTGCTCATACATTTTAAATTAGAGAGTTTGCTTAATGCTGGCGGCAGACATGTGCGCACTTATTCTAGCTAAGAAGGAGGCAGGGCGCGTACGTCCACGGCGAGCACAGGTAACTCGCCGCCCGCATTATCAAACCCGAGCCTACGGCGTGTCGGGTTCCGCGCGCGCCTTAAAGAGCCATCAGACCACCACAGATGGGACTCAATTATGACTCATGCCTATACGGTACCGCGGAGAACTTAACGAGTTGCCGGGACTCCGGCTCGAAGCGCAAAAGTAGGAATGGGGTGGTTTTCAGTCAGTAAGAGTCTGACACTACCTCTTGCCTCACCCGACGGAGAGAAGTCATTTGATGATTTTTTTCCCCTAGTGTGCTTGAGCCGTTGACACTATCTTATCCATACCACAAAATGTGAACAGATAAGTAAGGTCCATTGTCCACGTTACTGAAGGTCATACGCACGCTTTCGTCAGTTTACGATTGCAGGACGAATGCTTGCGTAGAAACGATCTAAACTCTGTCGAAGGAGTGACAATGTTGCGTCACTCACTTCTCATACAAATCCGTCTGTCGTCATATGTAGACCGCATGCATTCGTCAAATGAAGCGTCGTGGAGAGTTACCTAAAAAACAGTTCGCACATGTCTGGCGCCGGCATTATACAAGTGCCTTTAGTACTTTGACTCTGCAACCCTGGATGTTGATACAACACTAGAAGTGGCTCCGGTGAAACAAGATCATTTTGAATGTAATAAAATATGTAAAAGGGTTTTTATTCTGTTACATTTATAGACTGGTTACCTGGCACTCTTCTTGTTTTTCGCTT